AAAAATTTTTTTTGATGTTTATTTATTTTTGAGAGAGACAGAGAGAGAGCGCGAGCAGGGGAGGGGCAGAGAGAGAGGGAGGGAGACACAGAATCCGAAGCAGGCTCCAGGCTCTGAGCTGTCAGCACAGAGCCCGACGTGGGGCTTGAACTCGTGAACTGCAAGATCATGACCTGGGCCGAAGTCGGATGCTCAAGCGATTGAGCCACCCGGGCGCCCCGAGATACTTCAAATTTAAATAGAGAAGGATGCTTCTACTACGGCAGTGATAATTTTTAAATGTTAAACGTTTTAATTTAGTTTCTGAGAAGGTGTAATTTGCGCTATAGCGTGTGCACTCCGGAGTCAGCAAGGATTAGGAGTTTCAGAGCAGCTATGTTGGGAAGTCTCGGGTCAAATGGAGCAAAGCTAGGCCAGTGTGGCTTAGTGCAAGCTGTGACCCTGCAGCTAAGCTCACGGTGTGGTATGTATCCGCTCAGCCACTCCAACTACACGTCGCTTTGAGGTCGCGGCGGTGCCATTTCTTTGGTGTCGTGTAAGTTGCACGTGTACATTGCACATTTCGCTACAGCCACGTTTTGTTATGAAATCGGGTGGAATGCTGCCACAAAACAGTCACGTTGGGAAACTTCCCCTGGCACAGGTGTTTACCAGGACATCAGATCGGATCTCGGAGGTGATACGCGGCTCAACCTTCTCATTTCCGAGAGCAGCAGACGGGAGGACCCGCTTGTCGCTCCACGCACACGCAATTCCGAGGCTACCTCTTTTCTGTGATTGTAACACGCCTTCAGTCAGTGCCCTTCTTGCTCCATTCGGTTTTAAAGAGTTGGTTTCTTAGACTTCAGCTGTCTGGTTTTGAAGAACTTTTTAAATTCCCGTAATTCCTGGGGCTTCAAACTCTGATCCACCCCTGGGGTCAGCTGATAGCTCAGAGGAGACACAGTGTAACCGTTTTGGTAGAGACAGATTCTCTTGCAGAACTCAAAGGTGCCAAACATAACTCCAAAATACGGAACTATCTGTGTAAAAAGAAATGGAAAGCATGTTCAAATTTTAAGCGGAAAACAGTCAGTGCGTCTGCAGTCAACCTGACGCGATTCTCGGAATCAGGGATGACAGAATGAAAGCTGGTGACGTATGCTGGTCTTGGTTGGAATCATTTAAGTGTCAGCTCACGCAAGATCAGTCCGGAGTTCTTTGCCTTCTTCGGTGGTGGTGGTGGTGGGGAGGGTCATGAGCTACTTTGGGAATACGATGAACGCTTGGGATCCTCTCCCCAGAGAGATGCACGCGGGCACATCGTACGCTTTTTTGCAAACGATGTTAGGCTGGGGGGGGGGTTAGGTTCCCTTTAGGAGGCCATGAGCCCCCATGGGAGGAGCCTCTACACTCAGTGCTCAGCTGCTCGGGGGTGGGGTGTCAGATGCCCCAACGCCGCACAGGGTCCCCTCTCTCGGGGCTGACTGCCAGCCTCCACGCCTGGGTCTCATGTGACCGTCGGCACAAGACAGGGTGTCTCCATACATCCTGTCGGGCAGCGGCAAGGGAACGGGCTAGAATTGGAAGAGGTGGGGAAGAAGAGACTGACCGCCCTTCTCACCTTTAGCAAGTTGGGTGTCAGTCCGTTCCAGAGCGCCAGGACCCCTCGGGCCTTGACTATCTGCCGGAAGCAGTCCACCGCTCCTGAGAAATGGACGTCCACTCCTCCACGGTGCGGAAGGCACGGGCTCTGAGCCTGGCGGGAAATCGAGAAGATGGGATGAGGTGACGCAGTCACCGGGAAATAAATGTTCTAGCCAGAGAAGCCAGCGTCTCCAGTCCGGGCCCCGGTTGCTATGCTCCTGGCCAAGAGGCTGGCCAAGAACGGCTGTCACAGGCCTCTTGTTCGATGGGCTCAGGATGAACATCAACACGCAGTAAAGTCACGACGCCTGTTCACGTTTTTGCGGCTTGTTTTGCTCGGAAGGAAGCAACCATTCAGGACAAAGGAAACATCATACTTAACGTGGCTTCCCTACCTATGCCCTCTGGACGTGATTAACATTCTCCCAGGCCCTTAACCTTTAAATGCCTCCCTCCTCTGGCTCCCTGTCT